TCTTTCCCCACAAACCTACCTCACAGCTTAAACCTCACCCAGTGAGTCAGGTTCATTCATGTAGGTTACAGTGTCGTATGTTTAGAAATTGTAATTTTATCAAAAATAGTTAAAGAAAAAGACAAGCTAGGAAAACAAACGTCATGAACTTGTGACTAAAGTGAACCGGACCTGGTGTCAAACTACCCAGTGAGTTCCATTAAATAGTTTTGTTGTGTACCATGGTGCCACTAAAACGAAGAAAAACTCTCCCCTCGGATGCTGGGAATACTGTGAGTGACAGCAGTGGACATAAGGTACCAAACAAGTTCTCTCAAGTTGTTTTGTTCATGTTGGAAAGAAAAATGGGAGCCAGCCGAAGATTTTTCCTCTCTCAACTCGGACGAAATAAAGGCTTTCAGGTGGCGGACGTGTTCAGGTGAGAAGTGTCACAAATCCACTGATACAAATGTCACGGGAAAGCAAGTATAACTTGGAAAATGTAGGTTTCGCGGAAGCCTAAAATGAAATGTATTAGGGTAAATATCTGTCTTCAAACCCTCCTTCACAGAATCCAAAGTGTATGAGTCATTTTACTTTTAATCTGCTGTTTCTCCACAGTGAAAGCGTCACACATGTTATTTCTGAGAATAACTGTGGCACTGAGGTCAGGACGTGGCTAGAGTCTCAGGGAAGGGGTCAGAGCCTTAGAGTTCACCTCCTGGACGTCAGCTGGTACACAGAGAGCATGCGTGCTGGTCATCCTGTGGAGATAACACATAGACATAAACTACAGGTACATTTTCATTTTACACATCCATGATATCAAAACCGAAAATCTAAGGCTTTGTTTTGTAGTAATAAGTGTTTTCACTGAATGTAAATATGTACTAAATAAATACAAGCAGTTTATAGTAATAGTAACCTATAGAGCAACTCTGATGATAAAGTGACAAATCACATATCATGCGTAAAATGCTTTTACTTGCCATTAGGGAGTAATTGCACACTGACACCATCAGTCTTTATACAGCTTTATTTGTCTATTGGCACTAAATTGCCAAAAATGACTTTTTGTTTCATTGATCTGTGATCAGTAACTATGAGGTCTATTAAGTTTTTCATCATTAGCTGAGTGAACTCCTAGAAGATGGTAAATTATAAATAGAATTTAGAAAGGCTCACATCTATTTTTTATAAGGTCCCACTATTTTACATTGTATGTCAGGACAAAAAGCAGTGAGATGGTAAAATTACTTTCAGTGAAGGCCTTGCATAGTTCACATTTGACTGCTAAACAACATACTGCATCAGTTACAGCAGCATGGCTATGAACTGATCTGCCTGCAGTCAAGACCTTTCACCGGTTGAAAACATTTTCACATGAAACGAATCTAAAACCTGAGACTGTTGAGTCGGTAGAATCCTATGTCACACAACAATACAACAACACTCCTCTTACAAAAGTCCATCGGCTGGTCTTTTGCTGGAAGAGGTTAACACAGCCCTGTCCAAATTTTTTTGACATATGTTGCTGCCATCAAATTCAAAATGAGCAGAAACTGGTACATCTAGTGACCACTCCTGACAAAGCTACTTTTAATAAACCGCATTCATTAAAAAGGCTTCCATCTGCATTGAAGTTTACTATTACACTTATTTGTTAAAAAATAACTGTAGTGAGTTTCCCGTCTCAGACTGACAGATGTGTTTTTTCTTGTCCTCCACTTATGCCTATCATCTGGCATTCTCTTTTACTCATTCACCAACTCGAGGCAACTACTGTTGTGATGCTAAATAAAACTGAATTGAATTGAAGGAAAATTGAATCAACTGTTTCTTGCTTTTCTTGCTTTCTTTGTCACTCCTGGGGACTTCCCTGGTTTCCTCCTCAGAAACTGTTGTAAGTTTCCTCAGTCAGAAATTGCAATGCTTTCTGGTTTAGCAGTGCAGGCAGGCAATTGCGTTTCCCAACAGAGTACAAGCCTCTTAACTTTGTATGTCTCTGATGCACTCACTCATTTTTGTTTCTTCCACGTATGATGGTAAGAAGAAATTGGGCAAGTGTGCATGTTTGAGAAACTCTGTAGGCCTCAGCCAGGGGAGGCTCAGGTCAAGGTGAGAATTTCCAAAGTTGTGAGTGTTCTGGGAGCGCAATGGGAACAATAGCTCGGAACCACAAAGAATTTTTACACTCAGACCACAGTGAATAATGGAGCAAGAAAATGGTCTGTCAGAAAACCCTATACTTGGTTAAATGTCCCTCACCAATTTGGTTTATTAGCCAATGAGTTTTTGGTATAATCCTAAAATGTATTTTTGGTAAGAGTTTGACATTTTAGGCTTGGTTTAAACATGAAGCTGGCTTTTCCTGACATGAAGCCTAGCACATACCACAGATTTGAGGTTCGGCTTTTGCAAAAGTTTAACATCACCCTGCTGTAATCATTCCTGCTCTATCCATTCCAAAGCTAGCTTTAAGTTAACCAACATGTATTTTAAACCAAATAGGCATTGGTTTCAGGTTATACTGAAGACTTTAAGTCCTTATGTTTGTCTTCCAGGAGCAGCAGATCAGTGAAGCAGAGGTTGCTTTGTTCTCAGTACCCAGCTATGCCTGTCAGAGACGAACCACTCGGGACAACCATAACAGCAACTTGACTGTAAGCCCTCCACCCCCCACCCCAAGCAAACACAGAAGTCTGATTTTAGGTGCCATGTTAGCTAACACATATGTCAGAACTGCATTTTCTGCCTCAGGATGCCTTGTCGCTTTTAGCTGAAAACGCTGAGCTCAATAATGAGGACGGACGAGGCGTTGCCTTTCGACGAGCTGCTGCCTTGATGAAGGCGCTCCCCACACAGGTGATAAGCATGTCACAGCTCAGGGGTCTGCCTTGTCTTGGAGAACACTCGCTTAGAGTTATAAAAGTAAGTGAAAATTTTTAGCATTCCATGCTCACCCCCTAACAAGATGTAGTTTAAATTCATTTAAACTCTCTGGTCTTGCAGGATGTTTTGGAGAATGGAGTGTCAAGTGAGGTTGAATCCACCAAGCAGTCAAAGCGGTACAAAGCACTAAAGGTATCTCAGGCATTTTAAAATCTGCTGCAGGTGTGTCCCCTTGTTCAAAAGCAGCTGTTAAAAAGCTAAAGGGAATAGGTCCAACTTAGCTATCACTAGGAAATAAAATTATTCTTCTCCTTTCTAACTTAATACTTTTTAACTCAAGCTCCCAAAAGGTTGTTTCTGTTCATTCGGACTCATCCAATTGACTCAAAAAGTCAACCTTACAAACCTTACATTTGAACAGTACCTGAAACTAGCACCACTGGCAAACAATGGGCTCTCTTGATAATTATTATTCAAACTGTCATGACCATTGATCAACAAACACTGATCAAAGTCATTGATTGCAAGATGGTTAAAGATGTACCCTTAGCCCCCCTCCTCGATTCAGAGATGGTTCTTCCCTTTTCACGTAAATGGCCTCCTTGACTCCGCGCTCAAACCAGCATTCCTCCCTGTCCAAGATGTGCACATCCTCATCATTGAAACAATGTCCACTGGTCTGTAGGTGTGAATAGACTGCAGAGTCCTGGCCTGACGAGTTAGCTCTTCTGTTTGTGTCATCTGCTTAGCCAGAAGTTGTTTGGTTTCTCAGAATCATGGCAAACCTTTCTGGCACTTAACAGTGTAGACTACTTTACTCTGTTTGTGTCGGGGGACCCAATCCTTGGGGTGGACCAGTTTCTGGCGCAGGCAGGAGCTTTCTTTAGACAACATTCCAGCTTTGACAAATGTCCAGCTGGGATAACCACATTTAATCAGGGCTTTCTTGGTATGATGTTCTTCTGCTTCCCTGGCCGCTTGTCTGTGGTGATGGCGTTCGCTCTGTGTTTTAGCGTCCTGTAATAATAATACTAATACTAATAATACTACTAATAATAACATCATCAACTGGAGCACAAACTGGGTGCTCCAGTGAATGATGAGAGTCAAAGCTTAAATACTGATCTGTTTGCGTTGGTTTATGATACACATCAACTTTTAAATGTCCCCCATTACTGATGGAAATCTTACAGTCTAAGAAGGCTAACCTGTCATTTTTCATATCCTACCCGGTGATCTGCCTAACAATGGGTTGAGGATTGAGACCAGAAAATTTGAGATGTTACAAGTGACCAAGTTGATCATACAGACAATTGATCTTAAATGTATATCCTGTTTAGTATCTTCAGTAAACCATACAGACTGCATAGCTTCCCCTAGGCAACCTGTGGTATGATGTCTGGTCAAAAGCATTCTCTTGTTCTAACCGCTTCAGACAGTCTATCACCCTCTTCCTGTAACCACTTCCTGGGTCTTGTTTCAGAGGCTCATAAATTTCTTATGATAGTCTTTCTGGTTCAGCAAAACCATGCATGCACCCTTTTCTATTGGAAGGATGATAATGCTGTTGTCATAACTAAGCAATATAAGTGCCTTCATCTCTGCCATGCTGATGTTGGATGCTGGGGGCTTTGCATGCTGAGACAGGCATCGGCAGTTGCTTTGCTGCAAACTTGCTTGTTTGGGTTTTTGTTTTTTTTACTTTACCGGAGTAGCTTTGAATAATTCAGATTTCTCACTTATCATTGAATGTTTTATACTTGATTCTCTGCCAAAAAACCCCAGTTTTATCTCCTGTAGACCAACTTTCTTCTTATTGGCTATCCCTCACAAAGAAGGTTTGAACAGCAGGAGGATGGGGCTTCAGCAGTGCTCATAGCCAGAGCTGTGTGCTTGAGATGACAATATTATGGAATTTGTTACTGTAATTGTATGCTTATGTGACAGAAAAGGAAAAGCTTAATAGACCCCACTTTGAAGGAAAATATAGTTATTTCATTTTCTAATGGAATGCATTTTGCTACTTTCTGTTATGATATCAACTGTTTTACTGCTTTCACTGTACAGTTTTGCTTAATGTACACAGATCGTGAATTTGGCTTGTAATCGCAAGCAAAAATCTATCTAATGGCTAACATTCTTAGTATTATTTATGCAACCTGTAACACAACATGTTATCCACTATTTAAAGATTTTGTATCAAGCAACTCAAATCTAGGAAATACTGATTTGCTCTAAACATTCCTGCTCTTATCACTGTTCTATGATCGGGAGTTAGCAATGACATGACACACACCATAAGTATGTCCTGAAACCATGTAAACTTTGAATCTCTTACGTGCAAGATGGTGACAGAGCCTTCTGTTGTTCTTTGGAGGGGCTGTAAATAAGAATAACGTTTACTATAAAACTGTGTTTAGCTCATCAGTGTGCTATGGGTCATGTGCAAACACATAGGTGGAGGGCGATTTGGGCCCTGCGCCAAAGTGGTACAAATGTACTGTTGTCCTTAATGTTTTTAAATAAATGTATTTCAGATTTTGACTGGTATTTTTGGAGTTGGAGCCAAAACTGCTGACCGATGGATTAGAGAGGGAATATACAACCTTGAGCAGTTACGAGATTCAGGACAAACACTTAATCGAGCACAAAAATCAGGTTTGTTAGCTTTGTTTTTCTTGGCATTCTTGAATGAGGATAATTTTCTTACTATAATGATCAGAGCAGGCATATGTATGCTGTCTCCTATTTAACTGGTGTCCAAGTTAAAGCATGTCAGGTGAGTTCTTGTGTCTTTGTGTGTCTCTCTCTTTTGAATGGGCCTTAAAAAAGTCATCATGTGTAATTCTTTTGACACATGAGGGGGGGGATTTTGGGTCACATGTCTTGTGGCAGCAATATGTTGTTCTGAAAGCTGACAGTCCAGTCTTTTTATTCTTTCTTTCACATCCGTGATCTAATGTGTCACAAATACAGTACAGCCAATTAAATAAAAACTCAAACTAGAAAGACTTTACTGAGAAACAAATAACACCTGAAATATGATCCTAATCGAAATAGAAACAACTCTGCAGTGGGCTAAACTACTGTAACGACGGCCCCTGATGTAAGCCACTATGGTCCACTCTCCATCGTGACTCGGCACACACTAGTCCTCAAGAGGAGTTGCAACCCCTGACTAAATAACCAGTGGCTCCTCCCACTCCTTGAATTAAATAGCAATTAAGAATTAAACAAATTAATAACAATGCTCAATCTGTCATTCAAATATAATGATGATAAGTTAACAGTGAGAACATTAACACAAATATATTTAGAAAATTCCCCAACTGTGTAAACGTTCAACATCAACAGATTCTTTAACCTCGCGAAACCCCACCCCCACTTCACACTACACCTGGCACATTCCCTCCCAGGAATTTTACCATAAAAGGAGGCCAAAAAGAGCCAGACTTGTTTGGAAGTTCCTGTCTGGCCAGCTGGAGGCTTGGTGCAATCTGGAGGAGAGGTGAGAAACAAATTAAACATTAATCTTAAAACAAAAAGCAATTCTTTGCATGATTTTTTAAAAAAAAAAAATCTGGTAGCAATTTACACAATAGTTGGATTGAAGGCACTGCAGCATGCTTAGAGTTCACAGACTTGCTGTCATAATTATCTTTAAGGGTTTTCTGGTAGAGAGCAGAATTCATGTTCCATCAATTTTGGTCAGTCCAGGTCCTGGAGAAGCAAAGCAGCCCCATACCGTCACACTATCACCTCCATGTTTGACTGATCTTTTTATGAAAACCCCCAAACAGTTCAGCTCATCAGTCCACAGAATATTGTCTTAAAAGTCTTGGGGATCATCAAAATTGACAAAATGAGATGGGTCTAATATTAAAGATTTTTGACAGTCGCAATCACCTGTTAATGATAAATATGAAAAAAAGATATCTGAGAAAGTGTGGAAGTTGGGAAATACTTTTTAATGACATTGTGTAGCATTAAAAAAAATAATGTGTTCACTTGGTTGCTTGGTAATTCGCCTTTCCTCATGTCCTATATAAAATAAAATTGTTAAAAAATAATAAATACACTCTCATCATCAAGGTCTTGAGCACTACGATGACCTCAACGAGCCGGTCACTAAAGCAGAAGCAGATGCCATCGGGGAGATTGTGCAGAAAGCTGTCGATTCTGTGCTAACAGGATCACAGGTTGCTCTGACCGGAGGATTCAGGAGGTGAAAGCACACACACACAGTACATCTGATAGCACATTCAAAATCTTCACAGCCTAAAATATCTCAATGAGCTCTATATTGTCAAAATTATTGTTTATACATGTAGCTTGCCATTGCCAGTGTGTGAATGTGTGTGTGAATGGGTGAATGACTGAATGTAGTGTGAAGCGCTTTGGGGTCCTTAAGGACTAGAAAAGCGCTATACAAATGCAGGCCATTTACCATTTACCATACATGCGGTTTAAAGAAAATTTTACATGAGCAACAAGTAAACACTTCTTGAACCAAATCAAATTTTAAACTTGCCCTCTGCAATTTAATAGAAATATGAACTGTGGTATTTTCACAGAGGGAAGCTGACGGGCCACGATGTTGACTTTCTGATAACGCACCCAGAGGAAGGCAAAGAGGTGGGACTGATGCCTAAAGTGGTCGCCTGGTTGGAATCACAGGTAACTTTTGAGACAATTGATATTTATTAAATCCTTTGAAACAAATCAACACAGTTTCCTCTGGGGTTAAACTATTCTGATTCAGATTTTTACTTCTCAGTGGTAAAGGGCTGTTGGGATATTGTCACCCTGGTGTGCAGGCGGCGTACACACCCAAGTCTGAATGTGATAACTTGATAATGAGGTGACATATGAGTATCAAATTGATGTTAAAGGTGCATCTGCTAAATATCTGGGACATGTTTGAATCCTGGTGACCTTGAACCCAAGGTCAGAGGTCAGCTGTTTCCAGTGAATGACAGGCTTGAGCCTTAGTGGTTTCTGGATTGTTCCTAATCATCCTAAACCGTTTCCTCCCATCTCAGGGTGACAGTTTTTTGTCTTTTCCAGATCTTGGAAAAGTGGTGACACGCCTGAAAATTTGTACTTGCATACAGTTGTTTGAACTGATGACCTTGGAATCTGCCATTATTCAGAAATGGCTCTAAAAGACCTTCACAATCTGTGGAAATCTACACTCTCCATTCAGAGTTTATATTACTTTCAGGTTGTTCTCACTGTTTTCAGTCCAATGAATACTGTTAAACAAGAACTTTTTTATGCTTCCAAAGAGAAAGTATCAGTTGTAGTTAAGTCATGAAAAGAAATTGTATAACCTTCAGCGCCACTTATTTAAAGCTTTAAGTGACTGTATGTGTGTATATATTGAGTCTGTATATGTAATTTTTGTCCCTCTGGATTTTAGAAAATTCAAAATGCATTTAAACTTGTGCATCCAATGCAAGCTATGCAATCATTCACCCTGGAAAAAGAATATTTCAAAGCAGTAATTGAAAGCTCTAAATTGCAGTGAATTCAGGTCCATGATGAGTTCATATAAACTTTCCTCACAACTCTATATGACATATGTTTCTGATCTGAACTGGTTGTTGTCTATTCAGGGATTTCTGTTGTACCAGAAAACTACCAGAAACTCATACCTGGAGTCGAAGGATGGCCCTGCTCGGCCTGCCTCCAACATGGACCGCTTTGAAAGGTGTTTCTCCATCTTTAAACTGACCAAAGGGAAGGAACAAGAAAGCACGCAGCCAGAGGAGCAAAATGATCTGAAAACCAAGGACGTTCTCAGACCTCACATGCAGGTGGACACAGATCAACAATTATGTGAGCTCAGTAAGAATTACCAGATGGAAGCTGCATCACACAAAATATGGAGAGCTGTGAGGGTGGACCTGGTGGTCTCTCCGATCAGTCAATTTGCTTTTGCTGTGCTGGGCTGGACCGGATCCAAGGTGATCGCTCACGCCTGACCTTTGTCCTCTTTCAAAAATCTATTGCCTCCTTCTTTTCCCCTGCTTTTCTATGTTATATTGTTTAATGTTCCCTCTGTCTGTGCAGTTGTTTGAGAGGGAGCTGCGACGTTGGGCTGGGCACGAGAAGAACATGTCTCTGAGCAGTCACGCCCTATTTGATAATACACAGGTAAATCGAAAAAAGAAAAATAAAGCCTTTTTTTTGTAGTGTTAGCGATTAGAGAGTCTATTTTTAAGATATACTTTATTAGTTTTGCTCACTGTTGAAGCCGGGAGCAGAAGTGCTCTTGAGGTACTGTTGAGGCAAGGCGGTACTCTGAGCACTAAGAAACACATTTGGATTTCAGCAGGAAGTTTGTCCCATGCTCTTTACATAGAAATCACTCCACAAACTGTTAGAAGCAACAGATATTTTGCTTCTAACAGGAAAGTCTTTTAAGTTAAAAGTGGCTGCGTGAGTGATTGGGTCTGTTGTGGAGGGCCACAACAATAAGTGGGACTCAGTTCTGTTCAGTATTAATTTTCTCTTTTCTCTTAAACGCATTAACCCTTCACTACACTTCCAGTTTCTCATGCGAACCCTTGAGAAAAGAATAGCGCC